GGGAGCATTGTCTGAGGAATGGCTTGGCTTTACTGGTGCCAGGGGCTATTCCCCAGTTGCCTTTGGGTTCTGCAGGTTTCCTTTGTGTGCAATCACCAGAAGCAAGTGGGGTCATGTGAGGAGGGCACACTGACTTCAGGGTTTCCAGACTGCCAAGCCCCCAGAGCTCATTTGGTTCAAGGCCCCAGAAGCAGCCAGGGACAAGAGATGGGAACCCTTGAGGGCAGCCAGGCTGGAAAAGATGCTGAGGAGTGAGAAGGCAGGGATATGTTAGGATAGAAGAGGCTCCTGTGGAGCGGCTGGGGCCAAGACTTCTAGTCTCCAGTCTACCACTGGCCAGCCTGAGACCTTGGGTAAGTCACTTCCCCTCCGCTGGCCCTCACTTTCTCCATCTGAACACGAAGGGTTAGGACGTGACTCATTTGTTCATTCACTTTTGGGCCAAATAGATGTTAAGCGCCTGTTGTATTTCAGGTCTATTTCAGGCACTGGGGATGCAGAAAGAAACTGGACCATGCCCCAGGCCCCTAAGAGCAGGATGGAAGGACAGAGGACAGAGGGGAGCAGAGGAAAGCTAGCCTGGCCTTGTGGGGACAGGAGACAAGGTTGTAGGAGTGGCACTAAGAATGGAGCTGGACTCTGAAGGCAGAGTAAGAGTGTAGAATGGCCAAGGACAAAAGGGAACAAATGCTGGCTTTTGTGTGTGTGTGTGTGTGTGTGTGTGTGTGGTAAAATACACATAAGAAATTTAGCATTTCAATGTGTAAAATTCAATGACTTTTAGTACAGTTACAATGCTGTGCAACCATCACCTCTATCTAGTTCCAGAACTTTTCCATTATCCCAAAAAGAGACCCTGTACCCATGAAGCAGTCACTTCCCATTCTCACTCTCCCAGTCCCTGGCACCCATTCATCTACTTTCTATCTCTATGGATTTCCCATTCTGTACATTTCGTAGAAATGGAATCAGACCGTATTTGTCCTTTCATGTGGCTTCTTTCACTTAGTGTAATGTTTTCAAGGCCTATCCATGTTGTAGCATGAGTTGGTACTTCATTCTTCTTCTTCTCTTTTTTTTGAGACAGGACCTCACTCTGTTGCCTAAGCTGGAGTGCAGTGGTGTGATCATAGCTCATTGCAGCCTCAAACTCTTGGGCTAGAGTGATCCTCCCACCTCAGCCTCCTGAGTAGCTGGGACTACAGGCACATAAAATGATGCCCAGCTAATTTTATTTATTTAATATTTTCAAAAATGTTTTTGTAAGGCCGAGCGCAGTAGCTTACACCTGTAATCCTAGCACTTTGGGAGGCCAAGACGGGCAGATCACGAGGTCAGGAGTTCGAGTCCAGCCTGGTCAACATGGTGAAATGCCATCTTTACTAAAAATACAAAGAAAATTAGCTGGGCGTGGTGGCGTGTGCCTGTAATCCCAGCTACTCAAGAGGCTGAGGCAGGAGAAGTGATTGAACCCGGGAGGCAGAGGTTGTGGTGAGCCGAGATCGTGCCACTGCACTCCAGCTTGGGCGACAACAGCGAAACTCCATCTCAAAAAAAAAAAAAATGTTTTTGTAGAGATGGGGTCTTACTAGGTTGCTCAAGGTGATCCCAAGCTCCTGGACTTGAGTGATCCTCCTGTCTTGGCCTCCCAAAGCTCTGGGTTTACAAGCAGCTACTGCACCCGGCCTTCATTTTTCTTATGGCTGAATAATGTTCCATTGTATGGCTAGACTACCTTTTGCTTATTCATTCACCTGTTGATAGATATTTGCATTGTTTCTACCTTCTGGCTATTGTGAATAATGCTGAATGAAATTTGTGTGCAGTTCCTGTTTTGGTATACAACTCCTGAGTCCCTGTTTTCAGTTCTTTTGGGTATATACTCTGGAATGGAATTACTGGGTCATATGGTAATTATATGTTCAACCTTTTGAGGAACCGAACTGTTTTCCATAGCAGCTGCACCATTTTGCATTCCCACCGGCAGTGTCTGAGGGTTCCTATGTCCCCACATCCTCCCCCTCATTTGGTATTTGGATGTCAACTCGTGAGGAAGAGGTTAAGGAGGATGAGTCTGAATGAGACCAGGAGAAGCAGTAGCCAGGGAGGGAGGAGGAAAATCTGGAAGCCAAGGAGACAGCAAGCGGTGAGCAGCATGAGCTGCTAGCAAGATGACTGGTCAGAGGGCTAGGTCTGGGGCAGGGGGCAAGGACAGGGCCTGGCCAGACACTTGAGGCCTGGGGGGAGATGAGGGCATGGCAAGGTGTGGACATGTAGCCAGCTGGGAGTGGGTAGAGTTGGTGTGTGGCAGTAGCTGGGGTGGTAAGGAAGGGAGGGCACATGTGTGGGGACCTGGGGTTCAAGGTGGGGCTTTTGGCAGGGCTGGAGGACTTGCTGGCAGGGGAAGGGCAATGCCCTCCTCTCTGGCTGGGATTGGAGCATATGCCGAAGGCCAGAGGTCCAGCTGAGCTGACAGCTTTTTGAAAGAGAGACTGCCCAGAGCCAGCTCCCAGGAAATCTGGTAAAAGCAGCACTGGGGGAGCCAGAGCCAGGGCGTGGGGAAACTCAGGAATGCTGGAGTGATGCCAGCACCATCCCCACTGTGGAAATGAGGGGTTGGTTCATAGCAGCGCCCTGTGGGCAGGGCCTGTGAATACCCCAGGGCTCAGCTCAGTGCCTGGCTAATTGTGAGGACTCAATAAATGCATTTGGATGAAGGAATGAAAGCCTGTGAGGAACATGTGAGGTTATACATGAGATCCTGTGAGCTCAGGGACAAGTGGTGGTGGCAGCTGCTGAGGCCATGGATGGCCAGGGCAGCCTAAGAGACGAGAGGCTGGCAGGCCAAAGGGCTTAAGGGACACTCCTGGCCATGTCCTCCTGCCCCTTTTCCTTGGCCCATTCCCCAATATTTGATGCAAAGGCCTCGGAAAGACCCACAGTGAGGGTAAAGTTTCGAAGTAGCCCTTTGAGAGTGGCCAAGCACTGAGGCCCGAGCCCAGCTGGCAGGGCCTATGCCTGACTCCACTCTGCGGCCCCAAGGCCAGTGGGGCTTGGTGCAATTGGGTGCCCAGTGGCCCAGTGAGTAGTGGAAGGTCTGATTGGCATGGTAGGTAACCCATGGCACTGGGGTCTCTGAATGCCCTGCCAATCTCCCCAGCCTGCTGATGTTTTGCTGAAAAGTGGAGAGGCTGGACTTCCAGAACTGAAAGGTAAGAGGAAGAATGCAAGGTGGGGTGGAAAGGCTGGGTGCCATGGCTCATGCCTGTATTTCCAGTGCTTTGGGAAGCTGAGATGGAAGGATCACTTGAGGCTAAGAGTTGGAGACCAGCCTGGGCAACATAGTATAACCTCATCTCTCAAAAAAAAAAAAAAAAAAAAAAAAAAAAAAAAAATTAGCCAGGCACGGTTGTGTGTGCCTGTAGTCCCAGGTACTTGGGAGGCTGAGCCAGGAGGATCACTGAAGCCCAGGAGTTCAAGGCTGCAGTTCAAGGCTCCGACTCCTCTCTCTATTTCCCTTCCTCCCCAGCCAGTCTCCTCTCTTGGAGGGGCCCTGTCCCCTAGCTGAGCTGCATAGCGTAGGGATTGCTTCCCCTGGCTTTAGCCTTCCCTCTTCTTCACTACCAGCCCAGAAAGTTTGCTATCTCATTTGCCAGATGGAGGAGGAGGCCAGGATCAAGTCTCCTTCCCCTCCTGCTCTCCTGCCCTCTTGCCTGGGGGGTGGTGAGAGGCATTAGGTCCCAAATACAGGGCCAGTGTGCATGAGGAGGAACCCCTTGTCCTGGCCCCAGGAAGCCTACTGCCAGTGTGAGTGACAGAACCCAGCAGAGATAGAATCTTCCGGGGTGTTAGGGCGGATCGGTCTACGCCTCCCCATCCGCCACTCCACGCTCCCTTCCTATACACACCCAATGGCCCCCAGTGCTGCTCAGAATGCCCAAAAAGGAAGGAATGAGGGATGGCAGGGCTGCATGTCACACGAATGCATTCTAGATACTGCTTGGCTTCTTTCTGCTGGACAAGCTGTGATAATGGTTGTGCTGGTGGGAAATACTACCGGGTGACTGTCAAGGGCGCCCCTCCACCATTTCGAAGCAAGTCCTCAAGCGGTGGAGGGGCACGCATGTGTCCCTCAGGATAACTAGGGTGGGGAATGTGAAGAGAAAATAGCATTGATACCAGGCAGTCTGGCCTTGGCCATCATTGATTGATTGATTGATTGATTGATGGGGTCTTCCTATGCTGCCCAGGCTGGTCTCAAAGCCCTGGGCTCAAGGAATCCTCCCACCTCAGCCTCCCAAAGTGTGGGATTACAGGTATGAGCCACCACACTGGATCTCAGCCATTACTTAATTGTGTGACCTTGGTCAGGCAACTGACGCCCTTTGGGTCTCATTTTGACCTCTGTCAAATATTTTGGCTTTTGTGGCCCCAGGGGTGCCTTTTAGCACTGGCATTCAGTGATTACAAGTGACTTTCCTATCTTCCTCTGTCTTCCTGGTGCTGCTTGGCCAGCTGACAAGCAGCCATACTTTCTATTTCTTCAGAGCCTCAGCAAAATGCTGGCATTCCCTGTGTACTCTAGGGTGGTTATCCAAGTGATCCTCTGGGTCACTAACATCAGTGTCACTGGGAGCTTATCTGTGACACAGATCCTTGGGCCCCCACTCCAGATTTGCTGACTCAGCAACTCTGGGGGTGGCACCCAGGAATCTGGGTTTTAGCAAGCCTTTGGGGTGATTCTAGTACCTAGGGATGTCTGAGAACTGCTGTACTGAACTGTATGTGTTAGTGCAGGGAGCAGGGGAGCAGTTAAGCCTAAAGTTTGGGCAATGGACCCATCCCTGGGGGTTGACATTCAGTTAGAGGTTGCACGCATGCACAACACACACACACACACACACACACACACACACACAGTAGCACTTACTCTGTTTCCACAATAGTCCCTGACCCATCCACCCTTCTGTTGTGAGCCTTGAATTAGATTTGCTATTGTATTTTATTTGTTTTAATTATATGGAACAGTTTGTGAACTTGTGCAGGGGCCATGCTAATCTTATCTATATAGTTCCAACTTTAGTATACGCACTGCTGAAATGAGCACTCAAATTAGGTTTGATTACAGCAAAATTAAGGATTCCTTTCCATGAAGGACAGCACAGATAGAATTAACAGACAGACAACAGATGGGGAGAAGATATTTGCTGTTTAAAAGCAACAGGAGATTAATGGATAAAATATACAAGAACATTCTGCAAAACAACAAGAAAAAGACCCAACAGGAAAGTGAGCAAAGCATATGCATAGGCAATTCTCAGGAGAAGAAACTGAAAAGGCTGGCGAATAAGTATGTGAAGAGATGCTCGGATCCCAGATTCATTAGTAATCGGAGAAATGCAAATGACAACAATGACATAGGATACACACATGTCAGATTGGCAAAAATCAGCTGTATGATGCCAAGTGTTGGCCAGAATAAGCAGAAAGAGGAACCATTGTGTGTCACTGCTGGGAGTCCTGCTAGATGGATTCAGGCGCTTTGGAGAGCCACCTAGTAGCACTTAGCCAAATCGTGTCTGTGCCCACAGTGTCCCAGTAAGCCCATTCCTGGGCATAACCTCAAGAAATTATCCTGCAAGCCCACAAAGGGACTGAGTTTCTTGTGGCTGCTGTGACAAAGTATCACTAACTCAATGGCTCAAAACAACAGAAATGTATTCTCTGATACTTCTGGAGTCAAGAGGTCCAAAATCAGTATCCTTCGGCTGAACCCCAGGTGTCAGCAGGGCCATGCTCTTTCAGGAGATTCTGGGGGATCTCCACTCCTTGCTTCTTCTAGCTTCTGGTGGCTGCCAGCCTTCCCTGGTCTGCGGCTGCATCACTTTGATGTTCAAGGCCAGCATCTTCAAATCTTTCTCTGCTCCCTCTTCACTCTGCCTTCTCTGTGTGAGTGTCAAATCTACCTCTGCCTCTCTTTTATAAGTGGGCTGAACAGTGTCCCCCCAAATTCACGTTCACTTAGAACCTCAGAAAGTGACCTTATTTGGAAATAGGGTCTTTGAAGATGTCATTCGTTAAAATAAGGTCATACTGGAGTAGGAGGGGCCCTTAATCCAATTTCTGCTGTCCTTATAAGAGGACAAAAGGACAGAGAGACAGGGAAGGCCATGTGAAGATGAGGCAGAGGTTGGAGTGATGCTGCCACAAACCAAGGAACACCTGAGTCCACTAGAATCCGGAAGAGGCAAGGAAGGAATTCGGAGGCACTGTGGCCCTACTGACACCTTGATTTCAGACTTCTGGCCTCCAGAACAGTGAGAGAGTAGATTTCTGTTGTTTTAAGTCACCAAATTTGTGGTACAGTACTTTGATACAGCAACCACAGGAAACCAATACAACATGTGACTTCATTTCCAGCCCACCCTGAAAACCAAGGATAATCTCCCCATCTCAAAATCCTCAACATGATCACATCTGTGAAGACCCTTTTTCCATATAAGGCACCATTCACAGGCTCCAAGCATTAGGACTTGATACCTTTGGGGGTCCATCTTGAGCCTGCTATAGGGACCCATGCAAGGATGTTTATTGTACAGTGCTTGTGCTAAGACAGAATTGGAGGCAATCCAGGTGTCCACCACTGGGGAAAAAGAGAAGCAAGTGAGTGGTTACAAGCAACTCAGGAGCACACAGCAGCATGGATAGTTAACACACTCAGGGCTCAGTGGAAAAGCACCCAGTAAGAGACTGAACACACAGTCTCCAGGCCGCTACCTCTTATGTTTACTGAAAACACACACACACACACACACACCTCTACACAGTTTGACAGAGCACACACTTGAGTGGCTGCCACTGAGGGGAGGAGAATTGGAGTGAAAAACAGTAATTAAAAGGACTGGAGAGATGGATAGATTGATTCAGCCAGAGAAGAATCTCACAGACCAATGATGGTGATATCATGAATTGAGAAGCAACATTACCCGAAAGCCAAACAAACAAACAAACAAACAAACAAATGGAAAGAAAAAGTCTGTGAAAGGTCCTTTCTGGGGAAAGCTGGCCACCTCTGGAAGTGCCTGGTGTGTTTTGCATAAAGACATATTGTCCCCCAGCCTGGGCAACATAGCAGGTAACAACTTGTATCTATAAAAAAAAAAAAAAATTAAAAATTATCTGGGCATAGGCCGGGCATCATGGCTCACACCTGTAATCCCAGTACTTTGGGAGGGTGAGGCGGGTGGATCACCTGAGGTCAGGAGTTCGAGACCAGCCTGGTCAAGATGGTGAAACCCCATTTCTACTAAATATATAAAAATTAGCTGGGAGTGGTGGTGAGCGACTGTAGTTCCAGCTACTCCAGAGGCTGAGACAGGAGAATCGCTTGAACTTGGGAGGTGGAGGTTGCAGTGAGCAGAGATCATGCCACTGCACTCCAGCCTAGGCGACAGAGCAAGACTCCATCTCGGAAAAAGAAAAAAAAAAAATCCAGGCATGGCAGTCCATGCCTGAAGTCCCAGCTACCCAGGAGGCTGAGGTGGGAGGATCTCTTGAACCCAGGAGGTGGAGGCTGCAGTGAGCCATGATGGTGCCACCGCACTCCAGTGTGGGCAACAGAGCCATACCCTGTCTCAAAAAATAAATAAATAAATATAAATAAATAAATGATAAATAAAAAAGACACATTGTTCCTTCAGTTGTAGCAGCAGTAGGTGGCAGCTAGGGACCTTCATCCTTCCCTACTGTTTGGGGAGGGTGGAACCATGTGGCCTCCAGAGTGGAGAGAGGACATGCTCGCTAGCAACACCAAGGAACAAAGGAAGCCACACTAATGCCATTTGCTGTTGCCTGCCAGTTGTGTTCCATCTGCTGCACTGAGTGTTCCCTCCCAGCAGCCTTGAGCAGGCAGCTGGCATTGTTGGCTCACCCGCTGGTCTTGGTTAGGCTTCCCATTATTTTATTAATTCTCGGAACACACCCTGGCCTTCCTTAGATGCAATACTTCTCTCAGTGTCACTTGGTCAAGTAGCAGGGATAAGTCCAGTGGCCCTGGAAACAGGCATCTAAACGGTCGTGAATTCTGAATCAGCTTGGTAAACGGTCAGCCATTTTTAACCCCTGGAGAGGGTTTGGATCTTGTTTGTTTAATGCCCCATTGGGCTGCTCATAGTTCCTTGTAAAGTTCCCTTTGAAAATGCCGTCCTATCGGGTACGGTGACTCACGTCTGTAATCCCAGCACTTTGGCAGGCTAAGGCAGGAGGATTATCTGAGGTCAGGAGTTCAAGACCAGCCTGGCCAACATGGTGAAACCCCGTGTCCTCTAAAAATACAAAAATTAGCCAGACTTGATGGCACACGCCTGTAATCCCAGCTACTCCGGAGGCTGAGGCACGAGAATGGCTTGAACTCGGGAGGTGGAGGTTGCAGTGAGCCAAGATCACACCATTGCACTCCAGCCTGGGTGACAGAGTGAGACTCCATCTCAAAGAGAGAGAGAGAGAAAGAGAGAGAGGAAGGAAGGAAGGGAGGGAGGGAGGGAGGGAGGGAGGAAGGAAGGAAGGAAGGAAGGAAGGAAGGAAGGAAGGAAGGAAGGAAGGAAGGAAGGAAGGAGGGAAGGAAGGAAGGAAAAAGAAAATGCCATCCTGTGTTGACTATGCTTGGGAAGGAAAGAGAACCTGACTTTTAATGTCTTGTCTGTTAGTACCAAGGCCAGAGAGAAAAGGGGAGTAATATTTTATTGTAACCTTTGCTTTATCCTCCACAAAGGCCTTTTAGCAGAACTGACCTTAAGTGTTTTAAAATCTAACAACAACAAGAAAAATGTGATGTGGCATTCAGCTGTGCTCTTGACTGGGCTCTTCTTGATCCACTTAGGGATTCATATTTCCGGGTTCACTGACAGCTGCTTAACTTTGCTATTCATTCCTGCCCACCTCCTCACACCCACTGTTGCAGTCATACCCATGAGACTCAATTTGCAAATAGAGGTGAGGAATCGGGCAATAGTTTTTCATCTCCGAAGATGCCTTAACAGCCTGCTCCAGGTCTGTGCTCTTCATGAGCAAATATTTCATTTGAGACTCACCATATTTGACACAGTTGGCAGTCCCTGTTCAAAACTGAAACTAGTGCTAAAAACAAAATTCATCTAGAGACAGCAACATATTCTTAGTTGTTTGCTTGGGAGACAGGGATTTGGCCAAACCAGGCAAGGGAAGATGAGAGAGCAGGCAGGAGTAACTTGCCTTGCTTTCCTCCCCATAAATGTCCCTTGCTGCCTGCTAAGGGAGGCCTTCAGCCAATCACTCAGCCCCTAGAGGCTCAAGTTATTCATCTGTACAATGAGGTTGGAACTAGACAAGTGTTTTCACACGCTGTTGGTGGAAGGTCCTGGGAGATGCTTCAAGAGCCACCATCGAGGGGATTTAGCAGGTGGGGATCTGGACCTCCTTTTTCAATCATCACTCCTCTGTTGTTTCTATAGGCAATAATTTCATTTGAAAAGTAATTATTTTGGTGCTAAGAAAAGCATTCGAGATTGAGCATGGTGGTTCATGCCTGTAATCCCAACACTTTGGGAGGCTGAGGAGGATTGCTTGAGCCCAGGAGTTTGAGACCAGCCTGGGTAACATACTGGGACCCTGTCTTTACGAAAAACAAAACAAAATTAGCTGGGCATGGTGGTGCCCATCTGTGGTCCCAGCTACTTGAGAGGCTGAGGTGGGAGGATTGCTTGAGCCTGGGAGGTCGAGGCTTCAGTGAGCCATGACTGCATCACTGTACTTCAGCCTGGGCAACAGAGGGAGAGCCTGTCTCAAAACAAACAAACAAAAAAACCCATACCTTGGACTAAATGAACTCTAAGGACTCTGTGTTATTTTGCTGGGCTGCCATAACAAAGCAGTACAAACTAGGGGGCTTTGAACAACAGGAATATTTAGTCTTTCACAGTTCTGGAGGCTGGAAGTCTAAAATCAGTATCACTGGGTTGAAACCAAGGTGCTGGCAGGGCCCTGTTTCCTCTGGAAGCTCTAAGGCAGAATCCGTTCCTTGTCTCTTCCAGCTCTGGCAACTTCCTGCATTTCTTGGCTTAAGGTTGCATC